GATTAGAGGAAGGGGTTCGTGAACATCCTGTAACTGATCCGTGCGTTTAGGAATTTCGTTGTAGCAGCGCCTAGTCTCCCCCGAAAGCTGTTACGTAAGGCTCAATACATATTTTATTTTGTCTTCAGGATGTTACAAAGGTCGATGCATACTATTTTACTTTTAATTATATTGTCTTGAAGTTATGTTCTTTCTGCAATGAAGTGTCATTTAACAATATATCCATAATATATGTCTTGTGGAAACATGATTGCATTTTTATACAAATCTTCCGATGATTGTATGGGGATTTTTGGCAAGGCCGGGGATAAAAATTGATGTTATTCGAGTTTGTGATCTATCTTGTGAAAGCATTCACTTTCATATTGATCTTTAACTTCCTTCCTCCACTCCTCCTCATCGAGAAATGTCTATCTCTCCAACGATATATATTAGTTATGAATCATCTCATAAGATATCAAATCCAAATATTAATGGTCACATATGATCCTAGTAATCTATTCATCCACTCGCCTCTTGACATGATGGAAGATTTTTTTTTTTACAAATTACCCTTCGTCAAGCATTTGATTTCCTTCTGTTGGTTGGTGTATAAAATTTGAACATGGCCATCGGATATGGCCTCACTTGGTACACACTTTTTTCATCTTTTGAAAATACATGTAATTGATATATTAATCTGAATTACAGAATTTTGCCTTCGCGAACAGCTGAAATCTTTTCGACAGAAAGAGAGAAAAAATATAGGAGGTTGAAGGTCAGCTATATACACATAAAGCTGGCCAACAATTTTCCAAAGTAAGAAAAAGGCATATATACAGGTTCGAAAAAAAATTGAGACAGTGGAAAGTGAAAAATAGTATAGAGTTAGAGACCATTTATATAATCATATATTGGGAGTAATTTTCAGAAGTAAAGAGAGTCATATTTGTAGATTTCAGAATATTTTAAAATATGTATCATGTGTACTTGTACCTGAGTAATTTCATCATTTTTAAATATATTTATTTCTAAACTACAAAATAAAAATAATGTGGATCTATGATAGTAAATAGTACGTGCATTCTATAGATACATTTTGCCCTTTTAGCTTATAGATAGATAAACATGTTTTTTTATTACGCAAAAAAGACTGTTGTTTTTTGTTTTTTTAAGAGGTAAATACACTAGAAGTCACAGAACTTGCACGCAATGTTCAGTTTAGTGCATAAACTTGTAAAATACGTGTTTCTGGTCATCTAACTCGTCATCTCGTGCATATACGGTGCTTCCAACCGTATCCCTACGAGTGCCAACGTGGCAGGGCCACCATCAGTGGCTGAGGCTGTTTTTTTTAAGAAAGGACCCATACATTCTATTTATTTTTACACAAACAATCCTCAAATAAAATGAAAGAAGCTGCAGCGCATGATGGGATTCAAACCGATGAGCTAGCACGATCCGCCTAGCGTAGAGAGCCACTAGACCAACTAACAGTTGACGCTTCCTCAAAAAAGAAAATCTAACAGTTGACGCTAAAATGCACAGTTAAAGCTATTTAACACGTACTGCATAAAAAATAGAAATTAAAATGACAAAAGGGTTTGCTGAAAAGGGAAAGCCCCAGTTTGATACTATGGCATCGTGTACAAGTGCCAACCATCAGGCCACACCGACACTTAGTAACACAAACAAATTTTATCTTGTATATTGTTTTTTCTATGTAAGATAGATTTGATTTTAGTTTATCAGTGATAAATAGAGATAAAAATGATAAAAGTGTTATGTATTGTATAGTATAAAATTTATGTATTCCAATGGCAGTGAGCTATGTTTATTTTTTTTACGCAAAGATAGATCCTTTTTTGCACATAGTACCTAACTTTAAATATATATTCCCGCAAAAAATAGTGCAGAATGAATGAATGCAAATTCTTTTGGACAAACCAACGAAAATTTTGGTTGAATTTGATTTTTTAAAATTATAAAATCTGGATAAAGGAAATAAAATGTAGAATGAATATACGCAAATTCTTTTGGACAAATCAACAAAAAATTTGTTTGAATTCGAATAATTCTAAATTTAAATATTTATATAAAAGGAAATATAGTGCACAGTGAATGTACGTATGTTTTCGGACAAATAAACTCAATTTATGTTTGAATTCGAGTAAATGTAAATTTAAAAATCTAGATAAAAGAACATACAGTGCAGAATGGATGTACATAAATTATTCTGGACAAATCAAATATTTTTTGTTCGAATTCGAAAAAAATTAAATTAAAATCTAGATAAAAGAAAATATAGTGTAGAATGAATGTACATCCTCGAGCCCGAGGTCTGAACTTTGGTTTTAGTAATGAAAAAATTCGGACAAATCAACGGAAATTTTGTCTGAATTTAAATAATTTTAAATTAATAATCTAGATAAGAGAAAACATAGTTCAGAATGTGTACTTTTACTCTTTGATATATATCTTAGGAGTCTCAAATAGGGTGCTATCTAAAAAAGTGCATGCGGATTACCACCATCTCAGCCACTGACAGTGGGCCCCTCCATGTGGCTTGCATAGGGATACGACTGGATACTGTAGAAAGCACCGTATATGAACAAGAGGACAAGTTAGATGACCAGAAACACGTATTTTACAAGTTTATGCACTAAACTGAACGTTGCGTGCAAGTTCTTTGACTTCTAGTGTATTTACCTCATTTTTTAAGTAGGCTCATAAAGCCGTCTGGACCCATATTTTTAATTTTAGCTGTACATTAGTTAATTAATGTGCTAGCTTGTCATTAGTACTACACGCTAGCATGCACCAACTGTTTTTATTTTTATTTTATGGCCTCTGGGTCTCTTATTAATTGAATCGGTAAAGGGTGTAAGAAGCGTGCCATCAGCGATCAGGGTTAAGCAGCATGGGCGTGCACTGTAAGCATCACTGTAGTGTCGTTGATCCATCGGGCTTGTACTGGATGTGTTGTTTTCGTGCTTCTAATTTGCTGGGTATCATGGTGTTGTTGCGTGCGCTTGAGCTCTTGATAGTTCGACTTGCTTGTGGATGTTTGGTTGGAGGTGTCTTTCGATGAGCTCACATGTGTGTTGAGCTTAGCCGCTATGGATGCATCCATGTGCTGATGATCTTTGATTACATCGCAGCCCTTAGCAAGCTCAAGCTCCATACTGTAGAATAAATTGAAAATAGTCAGCTCAAATATTTTCTTATTTTTTTAGGACATTAGTGAAATCAAAAGCAAATAAATGAAAGCTAACCGATTAGAAAAATAGGAAAACGCTCAAAAAGAATCTCCCTGGTTGCTGAAGACACTACTAATCCAGAGGCCACCTTCTTGACCTCTTGAATGCTTATCAATCTATCTCTCGAAACAGCACACTACTATCTAGAGTTCAGCCATCAGACCACAACGTAAATTCTGCTTCCCAGGATAGGGAATACACGTACATATCCTACTGTATCATGATGCGGTGAGAGTAAATTGAAATACAGATCGTTGGTGGTAGTGAATCTCTTGAATAAATCATGTAGCACCTATATATCTTCTTAATTAGGTACCTCAACATGCATGTCATACAAATCGTGATTTTCCTGGCATGAGGAAGTAGTGGAATCAGGCAGGTTGTGCCAATGGCGGCGTGGCTTGAGCAACTACATGTCCATAAGAAGACCCACATGTAGACCACTTGTAGTATCGCTTCCTAAGGCCTAAACTCTGACTCGTAGTGGCCGACCGCCGGCGCGTTGTAGGTTGTCATCTTGTCGATTGGTGTAGCGACATGAAGCACCCATGAGGCAGGCGTTGGTGCTGTTACTTTTAGGAAGCTGGAAGTCGATCCTGAGTACGTCGGACATCTAGACACTGTTCCGTTCCGTTTCCTTTCCTTCTTATAATGGTGAGCCGGGCATCCGATCACCGACTCGTCATCCCTTCAGTCCGCTGGATGTGATGGCTGCGTCTTCGATGTGTTATTGCGGATGCGTTGGTATCATGCCTTTGGATCCATCAGACGCTCGAGTATCACAGTTGTGTGCTGGCTGGCATCTTGCATGCCGGTCACCAAATACTCTACTGCGTCCGGACCTTGAGGTAGGCTCAAGGCACGTTCTGTGTTTGTTAGCTTCAAGTGGCGTTAGATCGCTGTCGTCTCCTCGAGCTAGCTTCGTCGGCATGATATCGCCGTCGTCGCCTCAAGCTCATCTTAGGCTTTATGTTGGGCCGAGGTCCGATTACGCTGCCATCTCAAATCCATAGGATGGCCGTTGTGGTGCCAGAACGATGAACCATGG